TGATAACGATAGGATGATAACATCGTATTCATTAGAACGGTCATAACAGTGAACAAGGGCTTGCTTCTGACTGTATACGGACATTTCAGAAACATTTCACCGTAAGACCTACATCATCACCGGAACCCCGTGCGATGAATAGCTTGCTGATGTACGCCATGATGAACTGATGCCGTCGCGTTCCTTCTGAGCCAGCCCTTTCTCAAAACCAGCTCTAAGATCATTGAATAGCCAAGAGGCAACAGATTAAGGACTTTGAAGGGTTTTGAATTGCTACATATGTACTATAGAATATTGGACCAAGCGTAGCTAAATTTGTTACATGAACCATATTTGTAGAGTATACGTAGTGTAGCACTGGAAAGGAGTTCTGTAGGTATTCACTTACAAGGGTCTGTTGAGCGCTTCCTCGGGAAAATTTCAAGAATGCCGCCCACGCCTCTCGCGTCCACTGCTCTATCATGGAGGTGGACTTTAAGGTGTCGAAAATGTTACAAGGAGCACGAAGACATCCTCCAAAATTCTGTGAGAAATTTGACCAAATGGCAGAATCACGTCCGCCAGTACGATCCATAGTCCGTGTTTGAAGCAAAATCGCTCTGGATTTATTATCATATCTAGAAGCCTTAACCACTGAATGGCTTATCACACAGTTCACGTCTGTCATGCAATAAATTGCAAATTCATTTAGAAGTGTGGATTCCTGTGCTCTTATAATGGTTACTTTAAACGTACCCAGGTATTTGCTTCTGTGTATCTTGTTCTTGCGTTTGGTCGGTCGTTGTTAAGTATGTGAACTTCGCCTTCGATACAGTGAACGCAGTACCTATAAGAGACTTTGGCGGTTTGCCCAACATACCCTTTCTTTTGTTTAAAAATATTTCTATCTTTGCCTCTATCAAGTGACTCAACTGACCTGGAGGGGTTTTGACAACATCAGCGATCTTCGTCTCTGCCGGTTTCGACGATACGCGGAGAGCTTGAACTAAACGACATTGAATTGTTCTTTCGACAACTATTTTTCACATCTTCTGCCAATTTCTCACCAGAGTTGTTATGCTCAGCTTTTGGAGATTTGTATGGATGCTGTCGGGAAACATCTTCAACGCTTTTCGCGGTTTTCACCATCTCGTTTCTACTAACATCTTCAGATCCTGTTACCGATGGTTTGTGAGGACTTTGAAGTAGGGGTGACGCTATGATTTTGTTCGGTGAGATTCCAATTTTGTGTTGGTCCCCCGGCGTCGATGTCGTCCGTGGTGGATGCATCGGCTTCACATACGTTGCAGCTGTAATAGTTGCGCATTATAGGGCATATCTTGTTACATGCATAGCCCCTACCGTTAACACATTCACGCCGGTGGCAGCCACAGGTCTGCCAGTTAATAATCGTCTAATCGTCACCATCGTTTGTCACATTTCTTGCATCTTTTTTATATCGGAATAATTAGCTCTTATAGATTAGTAGAAGTATTTCGTGCTAGGCCGTCGAGAAAATGTTGATTTATGGCCAAGCTAAAAATAATTTTACCGGGCTGTCGAGCATGTTCTCCGCCATTTAGAGTACCTTGGGTTAAAGGCAAAGTTCGGGCTCAGACCCACCTAATGAGCCCTTAAAGTGGCTAGAAGTGCATGGGACGCAACTGCAGGCGACTCGCCAAGTTCCCGCATCGAAATGCGTCACTAAGGCGCTAGGGGCCAAGGACTTTGACACGCTCCACCTGTTGCGACACGCTCCGCCCACCGCTCGATATTTTGTCTGCGTCGCAATGCTGATCTGCTATGCTCTCTCTTCTCGGACTTCTCTACCGCTCTCCGCGCTCACATTATCTCTCATCTCCCTGCCGGCCTTTTGAACTTCTCCGCAGCGTAGAGCAAAAGGCTCGTATTTCCTGTGTATTTCACGATTTTTTTCCTTTTTTCTCCACTGGCGGTCCACCTCCCACCCCTACATTCACATTTGAGTAGAATTACCTCATCAGTTTAAGCTTGAATCTTGCCTTTAAATTGAAACTGGGACTATGCTCGCTGAATCAAACGCTCTCCGGAAAGAAAGTGTTGTTGGAACCAATCAAACAGAGACGCAATTCAAGAAGAACGCTCGGTCTCGAAGAGCACGTGCTTTTCCTTCCCCACTCTCATGCTTTGGCAGAAGCTATGTGGCCAAGCGCAAAACAGTGGTGATGTTAGAGTACATACGTCTCTTGCTAAACGACGGCGGCTGTCCAAGTCCATATGAGAAGTTTTCGAACTTCAACACCTACGTGATAAAAGGTGGCTACCTTTTATCACGA